TCGGATGGTCATGGCAGCCCTGAAGAAATACAAGATTCTTATCTCTTTGGGACCGTCGCTTCAGTGGTTTGTCGCATAAATGAACACAAAACTTAGTAACCAGTGAAGAGAGCTGTGTAAGGTCAAGAAGAAGAAGACGGGCAGAAAAGAGGACAGAGAAGTTAACTTGCTGTACTTAAAAACATACTAAAACAATCTCTGGCTTCAGTATGTGCCTTTTCGTTCCACCGTGAAATAAACTAGCAAAAAGAACTGCTTTCGAGGTTTAGATATCCCCACCAAATATCGAATGTTTGGCATTTTGCAACCAAGGAAGTGGGCATCTCATTTAAAATGCTCACCATCTAACGGATCGAAAGACGCAGCAAATTCTACGCAGAAACAACTTGCAATGCGCTTCTTTAAGGTCGCAAATGTTCTTATGTGAAGGCAGAGTAATTTAGCTTGTACCATCCAATACAATGAAGCATCATGTTACGAAACGTCGTGCCGCTAAGTTATTGGTGCCGCGGTACGACCACCGGCAGGTCCTAGCTGTATCAGAAATCTAATGTGCACTCTATCAAAGCGGCCCGAAAAATTCCTATTTTCGTGCCTGCAGCCGCGCACGCGCACACCTTCTGGGTAACGTGCCGGTGTCGACACCTGTCGCGAGCGATAACACGCGTCTCAGGCGAGCCGCTCCGGTCCCAACACTGCCCAAGCATTCTAGTACACTGTAGCTATACTGTGATTTTGTAAACATTGGAAAGGTTCATACTCCGCCCCCCCACAAGGTGAACTACGACGGAGGCTAGAAGCGCGAACGCGTCACATTAGCTGGTGCCCTTGTCTTCGCGAGCGTTCGTGCCTCCGAGGCGGTAACAGAATCTATGGACGTTTTAAACATGCGTCAGACTAAAGCCGCCTTTGCTGTCCTTGTCTTGTCTTACCGAGGTACCGCGCCACTGAAACGGGTGTTGACAAGCCTCCACAAAGGCCAATACTGGGGAGAGGGACACAATCGAGTTTAAAATCGCTATAATCCGACCTGCTATAGTAAGGATGAAGCTGGGATAAGAGTGAGCGGAATAAGAGGAAACAAAAACTTTATAGCGACGCCCATGCACCGCTACTTCAAAACGCCCATACTGGTGCGTAGCACCAATTGAATGTATTCATTTATATTATGTTATTTACGTACGATTGCCAAATGCAGCGCTCTAGCAAATATATTGGAGTTTTTGTACTTTTCTATGATCATTTCCGCCGTTCTTCAAACGAGGATGCTACTACCCTTGTCTGTCGGGTTCCCAATGCTGTAGAAGGTTACGTAGAACGCTGTACGATGGTGAAAACGATCTACGAAAACTTTCTAATAACTCATACGTATGACCGCTAAGATTGTATGTACAACGCTCTGGCATTGATTACCTTCAGGTTAACACTGACGGTTCGATCAAACGTATATTCGCTTGTATCGGTAATCGTAGTGAATATTGCTCCGGTACCAGCGCAGTTCACCAGAATGCTAGCAGCCTTGCCGTAAACTTCTTGGATGGCGGCAAATATCAACCGCACCGACGACGAGTCCACAACATCCACGTGCGTCGAGCGACGTGTTTCTGATGATCGCGCACCGCTGAAAATAATCCACAGTTTGGTTTGTATAACGCTGCCAGTGACTAGAAGAAACTGGTTGAAACAGCTCGAAAACAAAACATATTTTCAAATTGGCTAACATCCCTAAGTTGTCTGAGCTTTTTCACTAACTTGGAGAAGGTAATAAGGGCACAAAAAAGTGTGTTGTTCAATCTTGTAGTTCTTTTTATACCTGACTAAAATTGGAATAGTAAGCACAAAACCATATCGATGAAGATAAAGTTTGCTTCAATTATTTTGTAATAGAAACCCTCCCAAAAGGCTTGTTTATAAACGCAGTTCTCCATACAAGTATGGACCTTCCAAACTGGAGCTATTGGAACTTAACCCTGTAAAAGAGACTGCTTAAGCTAATTGGAAGTAGACAAAAGAAATATTATGGGCAATATAAAAACAAAAAGAGGATTTAGAATGCCTGTTGGTAGATCGCAACTTTATATAATTACTTCTGTCGCTTCGCTGAAGCATACGGTGGGCAACATTGTTTACACGTTACTATTTTTCAGCGCTGGAGGTAGAACAAGAAACCTGGAAGACCGTTCACCACGGCCTGGGCAGCAGCCATATTGATATCAGCGACAATCACCTGAGTTCCTTTCTCGGCTAATGCATGGCAAATCGCTTCGCCAATAACGCCTCCGCCTCCGGTCACCACGGCCACGTGACCGCACAGGGGACTCCCCTGGGATCTAGCCATTTCGTCGGGGTTTTGGATCTCCGCTTCCGCGAGGCGCATGATGACCGAGATGTGGCGAATAGACGAATGGGTCCGTATTTTTGTAGAAGTATCAGGCAGAAGCAATATAAAATGAAACACAATGGAAGTGCAAATTAAAATAGAAACACCCGGTAGTGACTGAGCAATAAAACAATACCTGCGTCATTCAGTTTAATTGGTCTTTACGGAGGACGGTCTCGGTTCCTGGAAGGGCGTCGATTGTTTTAGAAAGAGTACTGACTGACATTTTCGATGTATAAACGTTGTAACGGACACGTAGGGTCTTTTTACGAAGTTCAGATGAGTCAGCAGAAAAAAGTCAACATAAAGTTCATAGAAAGTCAACAGCTTTTCTTTTGACTCAGGCTAAAGAAAATCACCAGAAACGTTTCAACACAAAGTCAACAAACTTTCTGTTGACATGGTCTACAGAAAGTCAAAGTCAAAAGAAAGTAATCAGAGGGAACAAGAAGTCAACACGTTTTCAATAAAAAGTCAAAAATAATTTTTATAGGGGTCCTTAGCTTACACGGGCTAGGTATAAGAAAATGTTTTAGTAGATATAGCGTGCTAGTGATCTTTTATGTTGAAACTAAACCATATAACTAGTGTCTGATTATTCACCAAGGCAATTTAGTTTACAGTCGCAGCGTCCGCAACTTTGAGGCTCGTAACAAAGAATATATAGATATAGGCTTTTCGATCGCACATTGATTATCCTCTAGTTTAATTAATGGCTGTTTATAAAACACTCCCTCACAGCCTACTTTGTGGTCTAATTAGACGTTTTTCTGTTCGACAGTCTTGATGATGGAACGATGATTGGAAAAGCCTCGTACTAGCGTGCCGTAATATGGGACATTTTATAGCAGCGAAAAGCGGCTCCGGCTTAGTGGATTAAGGCGAAATGGGACAGGCGGACGGAACCATGCAAGCGTATCGTATTATGGGACATCCTATACCAGCGTAGTGAATAATGACGGAACCATGTAGGGGCATGGAACCATGAAGGCGGACGGAGTTATACAAACATAACGTAATTTGAGACGTCCTACACCACCGAAAAGGCGAATTAACATGGTGGAGCCATGTGGGTGATTTTGCCCACGTGGCTCCACCATGCTGGTATCGCCTTTTCGCTGGTATACAGGGCGAACTTTTCAAGATTTACATATTTGTTTAAAAAGGTCATGAAAGATACACATATACGGTTTGTTCAGGCGAGCTTTACGGCCAGGGAGACGTAGTATAGGGGCCTAACCGTAACAATCAGTGGAATAATTAAATACAATTTGTTTATTAACTTTCTAATTTGTAAAAATGAATACATGGTTTCAATTAGAAACTTGGTGAGAGTCATCGAAAATCACTAAATCAACTTTTTTTAGAAGGATATAACGCAGGAGTAGCATTTTACGCGTTCGGTGAAAACGCTTCATTTGGGCGCGTTTCTAGGTTTCGGTTTTTAATCAGAGCGCATCTCTGCGCCCACGGTCCTGTTCCCCAGGGGTTTAGAAGCGCAACATGCGTACACTTTGCTTCCCTCCATCCTACGAAGGAGGCGAGGCCGTGACTTCGCACTGCGGCCACCGTGCAGCAGGATCGCGGGCGCAAAGATGCGATCCGATAAGAAACCGAAGTCTAAAAACGCGACCAAATTGAGAATTTTTTCAGAACGCCGCAATATGCTGGTCTTGTCTTATATCGTCACAAAAAGAGTTGGTATAGTGTTTTTTCAATTATGCTTAGCAAGTTTCTAATTAAAACCAATGGTCTATTTGCACGAATTAAAATTTATGGAACATATTATACTTAAAGGGAAGCTGGAGCGGTTTTGTATTTCAGGAAACACATCTAAATCTTCTTCATTTGACCTCCAGGATTTCAAATATCAAGATTATTTCTTAATTTGGTGAATCGACACTGCATAGAATCATTTTCAAAACACCGCTGAAGGCACTCTTTCCTGGAGAGTGACGTCACAAAAGGAGCTTTCGAAATCTCCGCAGGCACACGCTATTTGGAAAAAGGGCAGGAATAGACGTCACGACTGGTGCCAGTGCGGGAGAATATACCTAGATAGCTTGCCATTGTACGAGCAGCCCTGAAGCTACACACGCTTGGCGGCCGAGAGATCCTCGTACGACGTCACTACTGGTCGGTTGTTTATTGTGTTTTCTCACGTTTAGTTACATCTTTGGGGAAAAAACAACGTGGTATTCAGATTCACGGGATCAAACTACGATAAAATCAACCACCACCTAGTTTTTTGAAAGTATTGCACTTCTCTTTAATAAGCCGACTCATCATTACAATTAGCCCTATATACGGCTCTTTTTCAAACAATCTGTAATGCATACAAAAAATACCCTGTAGAATTTCCCCGAATACGATATGATTGCATGGTTCCTTCCCCGTGTAGGGTGCAACGCACCCACAGATCCATTCTTCTCATGAAAATAAAAGAGATGGCTCGAGGCGCAGTACGCGCACGCGCCTCGGAGAGCGCGTGCAAGAGAATGCTCTGAAGCCGCCATCACAGGCAGACACGTCGTTGGCTTGTCTCGTTCTATGTCCTCACTTTAAATAACGTGGCAGGGCCTCGCGGCCCCCCACATATTTGGTGACCCGGCCGAGGACCATGGACAACGGCGAACCCCAAGGAGCAGCAGCCGGAGCCCCGGCTTCCATCTCATCGGTTGCAGTCCGACTTCCGCCGTACTATGACAGAAACCCGAGGGTCTGGTTCCTGCAGGCTGAGTCCCAGTTTCATCTCAGTGGTGTGACGAGCCAGGAGAGCAAGCATCATCATGTCGTCTCGGCGCTGTCGTTGGCAGCAGCCGACGAAGTATACGACATCCTTGCGCAACCGTCGGCCACAGCTTCCTACGACCAGCTAAAGGCGGCTCTCCTGCAGAGAACCGAGGCATCAGATCGCTCCCGCCTTCAAGAACTTCTTTCGGCGGAAGAACTCGGCGATCGACGTCCGTCTCAGCTGCTAAGGCGGATGACTCAGCTCCTTGGAGATCGCGCCAACACGATCGGCGACGCTCTGCTGCGGGAGCTATTTATTCAGCGCCTCCCAACCAACGTCCAGATGGTGTTGGCCACCGCTACTGCTCTCGACCTCACAGGCCTCGCAGACCTGGCAGACGCAGTTGTTGAAGTTGCCACTCCACCCGTCGCCAGCGTTACATCGGCGGCAGAAGACGGAAGTGAAGCTATGCCTGCCCCGCCAAGCACTCCATCGTTTGACGGCAACCTCGAGCGGCTTTGCCAGCGGTTGGAAGAGAGTGTTACCGCGGCCACTCACCGGCGAGATCGTCCACGCACTCAACAACAACGTGGACGTTCGACATCTCGTTGCAGAAATGCTGACCGTTCCCGCTCCGCAAGTTCAGCGGACGTCTGCGTATACCATCGTCGCTTTGGCTCCGACGCCCGGCACTGCCTTCGTCCCTGCTCCTGGAGCAAACCGATAGAGGCAACGAGTAGTCAGAACCTACCAGGAAGTCGCCTATTTTACATCGCCGACAGGACTACGGGAACCCGTTATCTCGTCGATACCGGGGCCGAGGTAAGCGCTGTTGCTGCAAAACGCGCGGATTGATCACAGACGCCCATCTACTACCTTCGGGCTGTGAACAACTCGTCGATCCCCGTCTACAAGGAACGGTCCATCACCATAAATCTTGGCCTCAGACGAGTCTACCGATGGGTATTTCTGGTCGCAGACGTAGGCAACGCGGTCATCGGCGCTGACTTCCTACAACACCACAGCCTCCTTGTAGACGTCAAGGAGAGACGTCTGCTCGACTCCACAACGCGACTCTCCGTGCAAGGCGTCTCAACAACTGACACCGCAGGATTCGCGTCAGTCTGCTCTAACATCGACGGGCCATTCCGACCTCCTCTCCAGGATTTTCCAAGCCTCACGCGAGCTCCTGACTGGACCAGACCGGTTTCGCACGATATCCACCATCACATCGAAACAACGGGCGCACCGGTTCACTTCCGACCCCGTCGTCTGGCTCCAGAGAAACTCCGCATCGCTGGCGAAGAATTTGAGCACATGCTCGAGCTTGGAATTATCCGACCTTCGTCAAGCAGCTGGGCGTCTCCCCTACACATGGTGTCCAAGAAGAACGGAGATTGGAGACCGTGTAGCGACTATCGCGCACTGAACAACAGCACAGTGCCCGATAGATACCCCCTCCCAAACATTCAGGACTTTACTGTCAACCTCCAAGGCGCCACCATTTTTTCGAAGGTTGACCTTACCCGCGCGTAACACCAGATCCCCGTCGCTGACGAAGACATCCCAAAGACAGCTATTACAACTCCGTTTGGTCTGTTTGAGTTTCTCCGCATGCCCTTTGGCCTCAGTAATGCGGCTCGAACATTCCAGAGATTCATCGACGCTGTCACGCGCGGGCTTCCCTTCGTATTTGCCTACGTTGACGACTTGTTGGTCGCTAGCTCGACAACGGAGGAGCACACCAACTACCTCCGTCTTCTTTTCCAAAGACGCTCAGACCACGGCATCATCATCAACGCCGCAAAAAGTGCGTTTGGGAGATCAGAACTCGAGTTTCTGGGACATCGACTGGACCGACACGGCATCAGACCTTTGCCGTCGAAGGTGCAAGTGATCAGGCACTTTCCAAGACCTAGCTCGATCACAAAGCTTCGCCAGTTCCTCGGCCTGGTAAATTTTTACCGCCGGTTCATTCCGAACTGCACGAGGCTACTCCAGCCTCTTGATTTTCTACTAGCCAAGACTGCACGTGCCACTACCAACCTGCCTTGGAGTGAAGACGCGTAGCAAGCCTTCTGCGAAGTAAAGACTGTACTTGCAGACGCTGTACTTCTGCGACATCCACAACACGATGCCAGAACCTCGATCATGACAGATGCTTCAGCTACGGCTGTTGGGGCAGTCCTACAACAGCTGGTGGACGGTGAATGGCAGCCCCTAGCTTTCTTTTCCAAGAAGTTAAAGCCCGCCCAGACCCGCTACAGCGTCTTTGGAAGAGAACTGCTCGCAGCGTACTTGGCCGTCCGGCACTTTCGACACGTTGTCGAGGGTCGCCCCTTCGTCATCTGGACGGACCATAAACCACTCACCTACGCCATCCGCAACTCAAGCTCTGTCTATACCCCTCGAGAGATCCGCCAGCTTTCCTTCTTGTCGGAGTTTACGACGGACATCCGGCATATCAAAGGGAAATCAAACGTCCCCGCTGACGTACTGAGCCGAATTGACGCCGTACATTCGCCTGCTCCGCAACTCAACATCACGTTGCTGGCTCGTCATCAGGCATCCGACGAGGAGCTACAGCAGCTCCGCACATCAAACAACTCTCTCCAGCTAGAGGATGTTGAGTTCCCAGGAGGCATCACCATCGTCTGCGACACGTCCACAGGAACGCATCGCCCATTCGTTCCGATGGCGCTACGAAGGCCGCTTTTTGATGCCATTCATTCGTTGTCGCATCCCGGCGTGAAGGCAACGCAGAAGCTAGTGGCCAATCGCTACGTTTGGCCTCGGCTGAAGTCCGACGTGCGTGACTGGGTGCGGACCTGCTTGGCATGTCAACGAGCCAAGGTTCACCGTCATTCCGTGCCTTCATCCACGAGCTTCCTGCCACCAGATGCCCGTTTCGACAAGGTCCACATTGACCTGGTCGGGCCCCTTCCGACATCTGAAGGGCAACGATACATCCTGACCTGTATCGACCGCTTCACAAGGTGGCCGGAAGCTACACCATTGCCCGACATGACTGCAGCCACCGTCTCCGAGGCATTCGCCTCGTCCTGGGTGGCGCGCTCCGGATGCCCATCTGAAATCGTCACCGACAGAGGGCGTCAATTCGAATCCAACTTGTTCACCGAGTTGTCCCGAATCCTAGGCATGACGAGATCTCGGACAACTGCATACCATCCGCAGTCAAACGGCCTGGTGGAAAGTTTCCACCGACACCTCAAGTCCGCGCTCATGGCCCACGCGAACTCCAAGGAATGGGTACAACAGCTTCCACTCGTCTTACTCGGAGTTCGAACGGCGTTGAAGCAGGACCTCGGCTGTGCAACCTCTGAACTCGTCTATGGGACGACCCTCCGATTACCGTCGGATTTTTTCGAGGTCGACCCGTCTCCAAACACGAGGCCAGAAGACTACGCCACAAAGCTGAAGGAGGTTTTTGCAGACCTACGACCAGTTCCTACGCGCGCGGTATCTGCCAAGACTCCTTACGTCTCTCAGGACTTGTACAGTGCAACGCATCTGTTCGTGCGCCAAACAGCCAGACGGAAACCGCTCCAACCACACTATATGGAACCGTTCCCGGTTCTGGAAAAGAAGCCAAGTGGCTTCGTTGTACAGATCAATGGACGACGAGACACCATCGCTCTCGTGCGTCTAAAGCCAGCCCATCTCGAGCACGCACCCGTGAACCTCATCACATGTGAGACGCGCGAGGAGAGTCCGAAGTCTCGCAGGACGTCTGCGCAAGTTCATTGGACAAACTCATGGCCAGAGCTAGCGCCTTAATTGTGTGTTGTCGTTGTTCTTTTCGTTTTTTTTAATCGCTCGTTGGGGCTCCTCGCTAAAGGGGGCCATATCTGTAGGGTGCAACGCACCCACAGATCCATTCTTCTCATGAAAATAAAAGAGATGGCTCGAGGCGCAGCACGCGCACGCGCCTCGGAGAGCCCGTGCAAGAGAATGCTCTGAAGCCGCCATCACAGGCAGACACGTCGTTCGCTTGTCTCGTTCTATGTCCTCACTTTAAATAACGTGGCAGGGCCTCGCGGCCCCCCACACCCGCTTGCATCGTTCGGGAGAGACTCGTGGACATCCACAATTCCATAGGAACGCTGTATGTCAGCGAGTCTCTATAACAACAAGTATTTATATCTAGAAGAATTACATGCAGCAAAGCTCAACCTTGCTCAAAAGATGAAAATTATAAATCCAATACTGAACAAAGGTGTCCCTTGAGCTATCAGACCCAACTCCCACTTTTGCCGCTCGAGGAGTTCCTAACTTGTGCGTGGAGGATCAGCACAACCTAGATTTATGCTGCGAGCGCGCCTGCGATATAAAAATTGAATAAGCACGAGATTAAAAATGAAAGATGTTTACAATTCTCTGTAATGCAAAATTAGAACGCAGCTCTTGAGGAGGAGGATGGGAGGGTATGGAGGGGAGGGTATGCCCCTCCTCCCCTTTCTTCCTCCTCTCCTGCTCCCTCCCATTTAGCGGGAAATTTCTTTAAATTTAGCGGGAAAATTTACACGCTAAGTTTAGCTGGAAAGTTTTCTCTAAATCTCATACTAATTTTACCAAAAAAAATGTTTTCTAGATTTCCCGCTAAACATAGCGGGAACATTTTCCCACTAAACTTAGCGGGTTAAGTTTTACCGTTAAATTTAGCGGGGAAATCGATGACACGTGACCTCAACACCAATTCAGATTTCCCTAAAATTGTTGCGGGGAAAATTACGTCACATGACTTCGTGTCACGTCCCCCATGAACAAATTCAGTATCTCCGCTAGATTTAGCGGAAAAATTAACGTCACATGACCTCAAGATTAATTCAATTTCCTGCTAAGTTACGTGGGGCAGTAACGCCAACGGCGACGCCGCGAAACGCCGAAACGGGCACCTAAGAGCTGCGCTCTAAAAGCTAAATGCCTCACGTGAAATAAAGTGAATATTAGAGAAAAGACAAAGAAAAAAGAATCTAAAATACCACTTTAATATCACTCCTTTTGTTCGTTCTCAAATGTTTTGATTTCAAGAAATGTTTATCTCTTTATTCATACCCAGAGAACCTCTCCCACTTTCAGCAGGAATGCAATAAATCAGGGCAGAATTTACCTTGTGAAACATAATGGACATAAAAATGAAATTTTGTCACATAGTCATCATGAGTCGGTCGCTCAGATCTCTAAATACATTTGAAGTGAGGAACGCTCTTGAATAAAACATGTAGTATTTGCATTTGACAGTTTAAACAACCATAAGAAACTCTGTATGCCACGATTTTGTTTTATGAGATCAGCAATGGCGCAGCAGTGTCCTCCTTGCATACCTAACAAGAGTTTGCATTTCTTTAGCATGACATGCGCTATCCTGATGCCTATACAGCCCTCTTTAACAAAATGGAATCCCGGACAAAAGCTCACCGGACAAAGCTCACCGGACAGAAGCTCACCGGACAAAAGCTCACCGGACAAAAGCTCACCGGACAAAAGCTCACCCATTTTTAACAGACCCGGACAAAAGCTCACCAGGAGAAAATTTCATGTTGGTCTTATAGAGAAACGAAGTTTAAAGAAAAAGGAGGCTCATCGCCTTTTTCTTTAAACTTCGTTTCTCTATAAGACCAACATGAAATTTTCGTTTATTTCCTTAATGCCTTATATACCCACAACCTAACCACCGACCACCGACGTTACAAGGTCAACCTTAGTTATAAGACCATTCCATTTAGCGCTCTCTGGGCGGCACCATTTTGTTCGACCGCAGAGCCCTCTCCACACATCCCGGAAGTTCAGCGGGTTAGGAGGGGTAAAACGAGAGAGAGGGCACGCGCCCGACTCCGCTAGCAGACGAAAAACCGGAAGGTTGACGTTCTCCATCTTTGGGTTGTATCGGCGGGCTCTA